CAAATAAATTTAAGTCAATAATGTTTAATTATTTTGAAAAATTATCATCTCAAATACTCCACCTTAAATTGTACTAAAAGTGTAATGCTATTGTTATTCTGTCAGTTATGGGCTCAAAAGCTGGTTTGTGTTGACCAATGATTTGAAGAGTTTAATGATGACTACACAATGCGAATTATATTGGCTGATAAAATTGGTTCAACCAATGATGTTAGAGCTAAATTACCCAACAAAACAGAAATTACGAGTAGGATGATCTAATATTTTTATTAATGCAATTTGTAGAATTATATATTTAATAATTTATACAATTTTTAGAATGGATATGTGATTATAAAGGTGTTACAATATTCTTGGATTGGTTTCTTGAATGTTTGTTTCGATACAGATTTGTTGAAATTAATCACCATTACCAAATTATGAAACTAAATTCAAATATGATAGCATATACCAATATGGATGAATGTCTGTTTGAATTTGAAATTTGTTGAATAATATATATTTTTTCATATCTAAATTAAATATTTAAATCATGAAAATATTTTTCAACTTAATAAGAGCATATACCTATGAAAACAAATTTTATTTTTGTTTAAAGTTAAGTTTAAGATTGGATAATTTTATATTTTGTTAAATTTGTTACTTGGTTTCATGTCATATGACTGCAGTATTTTTGTATCAATCTAAAAATTAGTGAATAAACAAATAGAGTACAAATGACAGTAACAAAACATTTTATTGTTTAGTTTTACCTCAGATAAGAAATAGTATATTAAATAAATTTAATATGAAATTAACTTAAAATTATTAACAATAATATAATATGATTGTTTATTGAATACAAATAACTTTCAATTAATTATAATTAGTAAAATCCATATTAAGACAAATTTGATTTTATAATTAAAATAATACAGATCTATGTTTTTTTAGCATAAGTTTTCATTGTATATAATCATAGCAATACGTACTGAACGAAGTACACCAAAAAACAACTAAAATAATTAAAAATATTACTATTATATCTGTATATGACTCATTGAATTCAATTGAGCTATGAAGATATAAAATGCAATTTTTAGTCCATTCCATTGGTGAATTAATAATTCCTCGTCCGACACGCCAAGACACCAATGGAGATGGTTCACCACAAAACTCAAGTGGTATATAATCTACCTTGAATAAAGTAAAATATAATTTAAAAAAAAATGTTAAGAATATTAAAACTGTATAAAAATCATATACTTCTGGTAGTAACGTCTTTGAGTTTATACAATCTTTGGCCCAATCCAAACTAATAATAAAACAGTTTAATAATAATGCGTTTATAAATTTTTTAGTTCGAATGCATCTGCCATTAGGAAGAGTTTTCACAATTAAATGTGTAACACTATCACTCCATGCTACATGTGCATTTAATTTAAACATATCTACCAACTCTTGTAGCACTTCAAGTTCATCATTTTCAACATTAGTATACGTTATCACTATATGTTTATTTTTTGCAGAATGATTCCAAGGGTTACTGAAAACAACATTAAATTCATATGAATAATAATTCTATATATTGCTAGAGCATATTAATTATTATATAATGTTAGTGGTTAGGAAAATATACATTATACAATCTTTTAAATGAATATTTATGACTTACGAGACATGGCATCTGTCTGGTGTTCCGTTGACAACATCGTCCTCAGATTCACTGCTGTTGTTACTAGTATCTATGACGCTCTGTTCATAACTGTCATCATCACCGTCCATACTTTGATCTTGGTATTGTAAGTCTGTGTTGCCACTGATATCAGTGGAATTTTCAATCAGCAAATCGCTCAATATAATAGTCTCAGAGTCTGAGTCGGTGTCCCATTCAGCTATGATATCAGGAACGTTTGCACTGTTTGCAGCCTGTATGAAATATGGATAACTTAATGATCAATAAATATTAAAACGGAAATGTACAAGCATGGTTATCATTATCATGTCATATTGCATTATACGAATACAATATCAATATGCGTGTTAAAATGTTGAAATAACCTAATAAAACAGAGTAATAATGTTATGGTCCACACTCTGCTGCCAGGCATAGGTTTTCCTAGAGGTAAAACAACATTAATATTGTTCCGTATGCTAAAACAAAACTGTTAATGTAATGGTGAACAAAATAGAACGTACCGAGTTATTCATTTGTTTAACGAGTCATTTAATTAAAAACTATTTAATAAATTTTTTAAATAAGTTGGTAAAATTACATAGGAAAAACATATATAAATATATGATATTATGATACAAATATACAATATTACAATAATATTATGAGCGGTAAAATCAAAACAAGTGGTTATTTATCTCAACTTTCACGCCTAGGATAGATAATTAGATAAATAAATAACACGGTTACAGATACAATCCAGTCATGATACCACTACATACCATTCATTACGGTATATACCACAAGATTTTGAGATTCATAAGGTCGGACGACAGAGCTGCCACATGATTCGAAACATATCTCAATATTTTTTCAGCAATATACTACACTGCGAGTTTATTTTAGATTATAAATTATAATATAAAAAATAGCAAATTAAGGTAGATATTAACATTAATTAAATTATTTTAATTTATTCATTTTTTTAACAAAAAATCCGTTATATTGTATCTTAAACCTTAAAAACGCAGATAGCTTTAATTCATGTAGGATTTTTTTCAATTTACTTAGTTTAAGTTGAACGAAGTCAATATTCAAGCTTTGAGATTTATCAAAGGAATATGTTGTAGGTATTTTAGTTAAGTACATATTTCTTGATATTTCAAAGGCATATTATGCATATCAGGTGTATAACTCTAGATTTTTTAAATGCATACATGCATATAATAATTATTAAATGTTAACATTTAGCAGTATGTATAGATTTAATTAAGGTAATTTAGTATATAATTCATTTTGTTTGGTATTACTTAATATAGACATTTTGTAAGCACTCTATAACGCACCATAAAAGATACAAAAATAGACTATGAAAATTTTTTATTTTTTTTAATCGTCTTTAACCAAAAATAATGTAATTAGTTTAATACGTATTTTAAATCATTAAACAATACATAATTATATTTTTTATTTAGATCTTTTGAGGGTTTCTGTACTAATGGGACTCCTCTGTATAATTCATGTTAAATGATTATCAAATTTAGTATTTACTTATTGTAAAAGAAAACATGACTTAAGATTATAAACATTCTTTTATTTTAATTAATTAAAAAACAAATTTGGTTAATAATTAAACTTAACAAGTCTTACGTTGGTGATTACTTTATTTAAAACAATTTCCAACAAAAAAATTGAGTTAATGTTAATGATAAATTCACAGTTGTATACATAACTATTATAATTTAACAAAATAAATATAATATAATATATATATACATTATATTATAGAAGTTATAACTTTAAATACTTAAACAAATATTATTGTTTTAAAAGTATATAATATACGTTATAAACATTATATTTACATTGAAAAATGTCAAAACTTTAATTTATGTTTTCAATATAGAGAAAGTCAAAGTTTAACTTAAATACCTACTAATCAAATTATTAAACATATTAAATAATTAAGTATATCGAATATTGATACTTTATTGTTAGTTAAATCGATTAACAAAATAATCAATAATAATTCATTTTCACTAACCATTATCATATTATTTATTCCTAACACTTAATCTAGAGTATATATTTCCAAAATATAGGGATACACAAATAACAATTTTTTAGACTATAGGTAATGACTCATGACCTTTTGTGTTACTATGTCCCTATAAATAAAGGATAAACTAAAAATAAAAATGATCAATTAGAAACTATTTTACAAATTTGTTTTGGACAAATTATCAAATTAATAAAAAAAAAAAAAAAATTAAAAACCATATTATATAATAAATAAATTATCACTGCCAATGGGTTTAATAGAAAATTCTATTTTACCAGTTCATTATTTTTGTTGGAATTAACACAAATAGAAACAGATCCATTAGACTGATGATTATAATTTTCTTGTTCTGGAACTCCAATGTCCTCAATTTCTTCAAATAAATCAATTGATGATTGAGATAAATTTAAACTAGATTCCTTACTTGGACTAGATAAATGGTTTTGCATTGAAGATTTAATTGAGTTTATATGAATCATATCTGGTTTTATTTTGCTGTAATAATCAATAAATTTAACAAATTAATCAAATTAAAACTTTAAAAAATAATTATTATATTTGTGATTTTTTTCTTAATCATGTGTATGATAGTATAAAAATCTTTAATATCTAAGACTGATTTAGATAGTAGATTACCTAGATATTACATTTGTTTTACAATTAAATAAACCTTATCTATATTTAAAATAAGAGACCAGCAAAAATGTTAACAAAAATAAAATATCTAAATCAAATATATGATAGTAATAATATAATTAATTTAACAGATTTTTTTTTTTATATAAACACACACATACATATATATATTGATTTTGAAAGTGTAATAAAAAAACAATTTTATGAAATGAAAAATTATAAAAATACATAAATATACGAAAAAATGAGAAATGGTAAAATTATTGAACGAGTTAAATAAATAAAAAAAAAAAAAAATGATAATTTACTCTAGTCAAAGTTAATAACAGCAAAACTGTACAAGGATTAATAAAATGTGACTTTAAAAAAAATAAATAAATATAAATGTTGATCAAAAAATGTATCATGTCATTTTTTTTGTTATAGTAGCCGAGCAATAATAATAAATAATAATATTTTTTTACTTCAATTATAATAATATTAAATTAAAATATCTTCAAATTGTATTTATAATATTACAATTTAAAAATGTTTATGATAAATCATTAATATTTAATATATATACATAGATGTATATGCAATTTGTGAAAAAATTCCATTTTCATTGTATTCAACTTAAACATTTCATTTTTAAAATATAATTATTATCAAATTATAATTTTGCTGGTCATATTTAGATATAAACAAAAGTAAATTATATAACTCAGATTTTTTTTTTCTTATAACTTGGAATTTTACAATTTTTTCATAAAATTAATCATTTCTTATATTACCTAGATAAATGTCCAAATTACAATAATCATTCTAAGTCTGAATAAACTATTTTATAAATCCTAGAATTTACTAATACTTATCAATCAGTAAAACTCTAAAATTTGGATATTTAGAAGCAAGTATTAAACCTAAGTGTTACCAGTTTTTATACTTTTACCTCAATATACATTATAATATACATATATTATACTTAAGTTATTTTTAGATATGTGATTTCACATCTTAAAGATACAGATTATTAATACATACCTACATATAATAGGTATTATAAAGATTATTAATTTTTAAACATATATCAATAATTACTTATTAAATTCTTCATCAGGATATAATTCGTCCAATGTTCCACTCCTGTAAAATGAAATGAAATTCATTTAAAACTATTTATTAAACAAATTACAAACACAACTTACTCTAATGCAATTACTTTCCACACTAGATCTTCAACTTGAGAAAACGCTATTTTCATTTCAGTAACTGTACTGACTTGTGTATTTGGATCAAATGTGACTTTGCATATTTGACAAAAGTTTTTACCATCCTGAATGTTTGCACAATTTATACAGAGTGTATGGTGACAAACATTAATTATCAGCCAATCATTTGTATGCTGTTCACTGAAACAAAATAAATAATTAGTTAATGATTACAATTTTAATATTACAATATTAAATTCATAAGCAACTTGCAGGACGCAATATGATCTAAAAACAACAAAATAACATACCATTTTTCACATTCTTTTTCTGGGATTAATAACTTGTGCTTTAATGACAACATGTTGAACATGACATCCTTTTGCTTAAATGCCATGTCGACAAGGTGCTTAGACATGGTTACAGTAAATGAATAATAAACGAAAACGATCTGTTTCAACCTTGATCTTATTGTTATGATAATGTAAGTATGAATCACCAAAACCAAAGAATAAAGATCTAACGAATACGTACAATATTATCTTAATAAATCTTAGTGTTCGTAAATGTGCGATAATGTAATATTATCATTAATTATTATTAAGAATTTTGTAAGAAAAAATAATTACCGATTAAGTATAAGTGTAACGAGCAGAAACAAATGCAATGCAGACGACAGACTACGAATTATAACTGTTTCAAAATCTATATCATTAATATATAATATTCTAGTTTCCTTGTATCTTGCACGTGCTAAAAAGCGCAGGTAAATGATTTAGTGATAACTTTATAATAACACAACTATGGTTAAGGGGAAACAAATTGATAATGATAAAGGTCCTTACACACTAGGCGAATAGTTCGCGCGCGGACGCGATTTTAAATCGCTGCGAACGTTCGCTTAAAATTAAACAGCTTGTATTAAATTAGACCATTCACACTATGTAGAGCAAGCGGATAAAATCCGCCATCGTCCGCAGTCGATCGCGCATGTTTAATTTTAGGCGAACATTCGCCCAAAACGGCTAAAATTAAATACATTGTTTTGACTGGGTCTATTCATACTGGGCGATTGTTCGCGCGCGTTTCCGCGAATATTTTAATTTAAATATTTTAAATATCAAAATTTTAATATTTGACATTTTAGTGGTCAGTTATTGATAGATCGTTCCTGGTGGTAAGTACGTTACATACATCATACGTCTGATCGTCTGAAGTATAAATTTTTATAATTTAAAATTGTTTTTTAATATGAGTTCAGCTAGTTTTGATCTAGAATCTTTTATTATTGAGATATCTCAAGAAAACTCAATCTGGAATTTAGGTGAGTATTTTTTAACCACTCAAAGGTGTATTTTGATTTTACTATGTAGATATACATTTTTTGTGGTTTGAAGTAGTATAGTTTTTTCTAAAAATAACATTCACCGCTCCAAACTGAATCTAAAAAATGATTATTTAAATAATTAGATTGTTTTATTTAAATTAATATATTGTGTGATCTACATATCATACATAGAATCAAAAGAGTACCACGACAAAATTAAAAAACAAAAGAGCTGGTTAAAAATTGCAAAGGCTACTCTAAATGATTTCGACAAACTTGAAGCAACCGAGAAAAAAGTGAAAAGTAAGTATTTAGGTTAACATAGCTATATTCATTATATTTACTCTATTATTACTTATAAGTTTTTTGCATCACAGATTTGTAAAGTATTCAAATAAAAAATTATTAATAGGTAGGTACCTACTTGTTTTATAATTGAATACTATTCTAATATTATAATGGGTGTACTATATATAAATTAAAAAACCAAGGAAATCGATCTTAGCAAAATATGAAATAAAAGTAATCTTCGCAAGACGCGCGGCATAATAGTTTTAAAACTATGTTGCATGAACAATTAAAAAACATAAAAATAAATATTTGTGTTGTATTATTGATGTATATATTAAAAAAATTGTAATAATATTTATTAAAATTATAATAAAAATACATATTATATTGTATTATAATATAAAATGTAATAATAATATAAGTACATATTATAATGAATCTAATTAGGTATAATTATATAATTAAAATATAAAAATTATAAAATAACAGTAGGTATAACATTAATAATTTAAGTTATCTACCATTATTACTGCTCTCCAACTCTATATTATATAAGGAATTTATACTGTTTATAACATAGTAAATACGAAGTTAATAAAATTAGTATGATATATTTATAGAAAAAATAATAGTTAATAATAATAAAAAAAACACTTAAATTGAAAATTATAGATACAATACAACTCCGTATAATATTAAAGGTTAAAAAAATAAGTATAGGTTATATAAGTAAAATAAATGTGTATTCAAACTAGAACTTTATTTTGTCAGCTAAGAGCATATATTTTGGGTCGTTAAAGTATTTTACGAAATACTCTCTTATATCTTTAGCATTGGAAGATGCATTTCCAACACCAATTTTGTCTGATATATCATCCATTTCACAATTAATCGTATCCTCAATATTAGAACCATCCTTACGATGTACAAAATTATGTAAACGAAATTAATTTAAAGTTTTGCTTTTGTGTACATAACAATTCAATGGGAGATCTATAGATCTCCATGGCCCCCATGGCCTTTTAGGACAGAATAAAAATTTATCTTACAATATTATTTTTTTATGCATTAAAATTTCTTTTACAGATCCCCACTCAGAAAAATATATATAAACGCACTGCTTAAAATATTTATGCAAGTTTAACTATTTTACCTTAATGTCACTGACAATCTTTCCTCGGGTGGTATTGAATTGTGTAGAATTGTATTTTCATTTTGCAATCTATGCTTAACACGTGATAACTAAGATTTAAAATAATAATTTTCATTTTAATACATAATCATGTGATAATAATAATAATTTTACTTACCAGTACATCAAATGATGAAATTGACATTTTACAATTTTCACTTATTTTTAAATGCATTTTTTTTTATATATATTATCTTTAAATTATAATTTCATGTTACATAATACATATTAGGAGAGGAGTCGCGATTAGGGCGGCAATAAAATCTATTTTGAATTTATCGCACCGATAATTTGCGCGAACACTAATTATTAGTATTTATTAAAATTCAAACAACAAAATATACTTTTTTTAAAGTGATATAAATTGTATTATTATATAAATCAAAAGAATATTTTAAAAAGAGCAAAGGCCAAAGAATCTTAATAAAACTAAATTACGATCATATTATGACGCTATTTTTTTAAAATTTTTTTATTACTTTGTCAATGTTGATATTTTTTCCCATGGTATATCACAGTAAATAGAAGTATTAAATTGCCGTTCCCGTCATAATGGTAAGAAGCATAGTTTTAATATGGATACTTATAGTACCTACTAGACAATTTAAGTTAAGAGAAATCGATAACGAAATATAAATAAAACACTCTAGAATTTATTGTGCATTCCACGTTATATAAAATTGTCTATAAAGTAAAAACCAATACAATGTTCAAAATTTAAAATACTTCTGATAGGTAATAATTTCAGCTAAATTATTATTGATTATTGTTTTATTGAGAAACTAAGAAAAAATTCATAATATTTATTTTAAAAATTTTTACTTATTTTTAAATGCATTTTTTTTTATATATATTATCTTTAAATTAAAATTACAAGTTACATAATACATATTATGTACATTTTATATATTACGTATACTGTATACAATAGTACAGGGCGCGATTCGCTTGGACCAGTGCCATAGTTCCGCCTATGGCTATTCACCATCCACCAGTATTGACCCCAATTTCTTTGAATGCATGTGTTTTTTAAAATTTATTTTTGTATAATAAATAGTTTTACCACATAAAACCTTTGGATGGTAGTGTGATACTCCGTACTCGGTATATAGTTGAATAACTTTAAACTTGCATTTCCTTGCCATTATTATTTTTTTAAATTAATTTTATAATATTATATTATAAATATGAACACTTAACAAGCTGTGACAACAAACCGAAAGGTGATTTATTTTAACTATTAAGTATACAATGTGTATAATTATAGATCACAGTCTTTACTGAGTAAATTAATAGGTAAATATCGATCGATATTTTATAAGTTATAACTATCCATACTTGTTAGACAATGTTCATCTAAATATGACTTTATTCTTAAAAACTTTAACAATTTGTCTAAAAATATGTTTTAATTTTGTTGTTTCTGTGTATGCTTAGCGTGAAACATAAATTTAATTAAAAAGTTGATCTTTAATATAATATGAATAAATCTAACTTTTAAAAACCCATTTAAAACAAATAATTCAAATAACAAGTATAATTTGATATTTTCTTTAGTATAGATATTTGAATACAGTGTACACATTGTATAAATATTTGTTAAAGTGGAAATATTTTAACTTGAGAACTCTTCTTCCACTCATAAGTATTAGTATTGCTTTTAAAATCAATGTTATTAGATACACGTACAAGTACAATATTTAAAGACTCAATTATAAAAAATAGTTGAATATGCTCAATAGCACTCTCAAAATAATTGATATCAATTATTTTTTTATTTTACTATATTATAAAGTAAAAAGCCATTATTAAATATGACACAATAGGTAGATAACAGTAGTGGAAGGAGAAAACTTTGCTTACTGTATGATCCATGATCACAAGTCTATGGTCTTCCTAACTAAAAATAGTAGGAACAATTTTATTAATTTAAATGATTTTAATGAAATTGTATTCTTGCTTTTACATTATTAATTTATTATTAACTAAAATAACTTAACAGTTGACCAATAAGGCATTTATTGTGAATTTACATCTGAAAGAAATTAAGTTGGTTTTGTATATTATGATCAAAAATGTTTGTGCTAATTTAAAATATTATTTTTGACAAATTATAAGTACCTAAACTATTGTGAATTGTTGGATAATTTTTTTCTCAGATTAAAATTCAACGAATAACAGATATTCAAGTAATATCAGTTGTTGATCATGCAATAGGTAATTGAATTATTTAGAATTAATATTATTGGAGATTTGTGGACAAGCTTTTAATTTAGCATTAAAATGTTATGAAAAACACTTAATTGTGTTCAAATTAGAATACTAATTTGTTAAAAATAAAAAGTAAATTTTTAAAATTATTTGTAGTTTAGCAAAATAAATAGTGCAAGTACAATGTGCACACCAATATTTAAATATAAAATGATATAATTTGCATTTAAAATAACTTATTACTGAACATAATGGTAATATAGGTTAATATAGTAGTATTTAAATTACTTAAATTAAGAAAATACATTTTAGGTATTTAATAAACTAACTTAAGAGAAAAAAATTATTATATGTTTTTATTTAAATCTAAAAAAGAGTTTAATTTAGTAACTAATTACCTCAAAGTTGATTATGTTGTGTCAGAAATCACAATTAAATGCAAGTAACAATAACAGTTATTTTTTTAGTTTATTGATTATTCTTTTGTTTTATTATAAATTAACCAATAAATCATAAGCTAACAATTTGCATGTTTTTGTGTTTAAATGTTTAATCAAAACTGTATTTATATCGGAAAAATAACACAGCATTTTATTTAACATGGAATAATAGTAATATTGATTACATTATTTTTAGACTTCCAAAAACAAAACAATATAATATGTATTTAACATTTTAATGTTGAAATCCTAAATAAATTAATAATTATGATAATAATACACTATAAAATTGAACAACACATGGAATGTTTCAGTGTAACGAAACTAAAATCAAAATTAAATTTGTACACCTTTATATTTCTTATATGGGATTGAAAAAAAAAGAAAAATACTAAGACACACACACATCATTCTTTGTTAGCTGTAGCTTTAAAATTTTTGTGCAGCTCTGGTTTGATGTCATAAACCAGTTCAAGAATTTGATCAATGACTGCCTGTTTGTTAACAATTACAGCCTTATTCATCTCTTCAATTTTTATTTTTGTGTCAGCATCTATTCTTGCAGCAACATCCTCGCGAGAACCCATATGCTAGAATTGTAAATATAAAAAACAATTGTTAAAACCATATCTATTATACATAATAAAATCTTTACTTTAATTTCAAATTCCTTGAACTGTTTTTCCCTTTCTTGTCTATATTTTTCAATTTCATCTTGAGCTTCTTCTTTGGCTTGCTTTAAACGTCTTGCTTTGCCTATAAATAAGTATAAAATAAAATATCAACATTAAAATTGAGTGGGATACTGTTTTAATGGGATAAGTATATTCATATTTTAAAGCAATCATAAGTTATTGAATTTAAAAAATGACTGAACAAAGCTTCACTTACACAACAAAAATAAATAACAACTAAAAATTTTGTATAGATGCATCAGTGTTAGGACATCAAGTTTAGAGGTGCTACATTACACTTTTTATTCCTAAAAAAAAATGTTACAAATCTAATGATTTGCTGTTATGCTCATGATGGGTTGTATAATAATTGATTGATTTAATGGTTCACCAAGATTAGATGAACTATTATTAGGTCACTAAATCTAGAGAATTGTCCTTCCATAAAATATTTAGTGATTATTTATACAACATGGCATCAGAATTTTAGTATTTACTGGTTAAATGCATGCAAACAATAAAAACTGATTAATCGTCATTATTAATTTACTAATAATGAGATCTTTAATAAAAACCACGCCTATTAAATTTAATACAATTAACATTGGTTTAAAAAAAAAATTTATTTCATAAAATAACCAGCAGTTAGATTGAAAATATAGTATTATATCAAAGATAATTGTATACAAACTATAATTTTAAATGAACAAGGTGTGGCTCTCGGTGAGTCCACCGAAGACGCTATATAAATATATACCTACCTACCTACTGAAAAGCCTTTTATGAAAACAAAAAATAACTAGTAAATTACACTACAATTTTCCACGTAAAAGGTAATTAATCGTTTTTGGATTTTGTTGAACTAATTAGAGGCATATCTTATATCAGATAATATTAACCACACCTTAAATTTGTCGATTAGGTACTTACGTTTCTTAGCTTCGGCAACTTTTTCCGCAGCCCTTTTTTCAGCAGCCAACAATTGTTGTATTCCTTGAGTTTGGCTGGCCATCACGTTGATTAACTAAAAATGTTGTTTAATTTAAAAACAATTTTTTAATATTATGAAAGACGGGAGCAATCAGCACTTAGTAATGATGAGCTTATGATACGAGAACTGGAGAGCCTGCTGCTTTGTACTTATCTGTAAATAAATGGGAATTGCCAATTGGGAAAATAAATGGGTGTAGCCATGCCAATTGGCCATGGGTCTATAAAACAAACAGCTGATTTGTATGCTTTCTTGATACTTTTCTTTTGGACTTTCCATGATCAGCTGTTATCACTTATCGGTGAATGATAACGATTTCTGAGTTAACTACGGTCTACGATACGTGGAATCGTTTGAATTGAATCCCATCAAGAATCGTTTATCAGTTAATTAGTAATCGGCGCAAAATACGTAAATATAGGAACAATAATTTGTAGTAAATTATTTCTATTTCCATTTTTCACTTTTCAGCAAACATTAAAGTATTGAATCATTAATCATGTCATTTGAAAATCTAGCCAAAGATCTGTCGTAAGTGTTCACCGTTTAGCCTGTATTTTACTATTTCTCAAGATTATACAATTGATGGAAAATTAATTTTTTTAATTTTAGTGTTGTTTCGGGATTAGAGTTATTGAACAATATCGATGACAAGAAGTTTGTTCGTTTGGTTGATAGGATGATACAAGATTTTGAACCCAATCGATTATCTTCGTTTTCTGAACATGAACTAGCATCCATGGAGAAATCATTAAAGTTAAACAGTAATCAATGTCAGTGTTTACTGAATTGTTTAAATCAATTACTGAAAGAAGTTAATATTATGTTAATATATTGTTTGAAAATCTAAATTTTTCTCAACTTGTTTTATGTTAACATTTTTAATTTTTTTATTCAGGTTATAAGTGATGTGACAAAACCTTTGATACTAAAAAATGTGTTGTCTAATCTATTTTTGTTGAATGAAAAAAAAGTTGAATTATTTTGTGAATGTTGGTCTACAAATGCTGAACAAGTTGTGTCTAGGCTTCAACAAAACTTAACTCATTCATACAGGGTAATTATAATTTTATTATTTCAACAATTCATTTAATAGACAATTAAAATAAATTATTTTATTAAGTTAAAGGATGTAAATTGGGCTTTGAATATTTCATCAAATGTTGGAATTGAATTATCTGATCCAGAACCTCGGTGTTTAATAGAGCTGAAAATTGAAGATAGCCAATATCACAATGGACCCAAAATCAAAGAAATTAATTTGGATTTAGATGAAAAGGAGTTGAAGAAGTTCTATGATACATTAGAAACAATTCAAGTAAAATTAGATTCAATTTCACATCAATAAGTATGATTAATTAGGATATATTATTAAATATATTTTATTTATTTGCTATTTAACACTTTGTTAAAGTATAGATCTTTTATGCAAATTAGGCCATAGTTTATGTAATTTGTTAATTATTAAATCTATTTTTGTAATTATATAATTGTTAATACAATTAATCTCATGTAAACAAAAATATTAATAAAATCTTGTGTACAAGAACTAGAAACCATAGTTTTATACCCTTATAATGAACAATTATCAAAAATATACTCATATAATGTATAACATCAAAACATTTTAGTCACTAAAAATGAAATCACTCCGAGCTCTGGGCATGATCACACCACCCATTAGTATTAAACCTAAGTGTAATGTTTGGATATTCCGTATATTTATACAAGATCTACAGTCAAGTGCTCATGACAAAATAGCTTATTTTAAAATATTACATTTTTGAGTTCATTTAGTAGTAGATAGTAGATATTATGTATTATAAATTCTAGGTTTACTTCAAAAATTGAAGCAACAAAATAGCATCAGCACCATGAAGTTGTATTAATATTTAAAAATAGTTTTTTTTTATTTAAATTTCAATTGATATTTAGAAACATGTTTCAAATGAATTATGGTTTATGTGTTGAATACATAATTATTGGTATATGGTTTTAACTTATTCATCTAACTTAAGGTCTAAAAGACCAAATAATAGAAAACATTTTAAGCTTAAACAAAATTAAACGCCTATACAATTTTTATTAATATTAGCTTATATCTAATGAATCTACAATAATATGTATATATATTGTATATCTTAGGTTTAATCTGTATTAAATTTGTCCCAATAAGCATACCAACAAAACTACTGAACATACAATTTTTGAATTAAAAAAATTATACTTTAATTCGTGTGTGTACTTAAATATATATATAAAAATAACTGTATTAAGTAAATTAAAATTGTAATATCTATATGAATTGTAGCTCCTCATCTTTTGGTAATGGTTCAAAATATTTGTCAATAATTTCATCTTTCACGTCTTCCAATGAAGCTGGACACCACTTTGGTTTCTTGTCTTTATCGATTAACAGTGCTCGGACTCCTACGCAAAGAAAAAAAAATGAAAATAACGATAATAACAACAATTAATAATCAAAAAATCACCTTCGAAAAAGTCTTCGGAATATTTGGCTTCAACGCTCCTGTACGCCAATCGGTGTTCCATTATCAGACATTCGTCTAAACTGAGGTTTTTCCCTTTCAAAATCTCCTTTCGCGTGATTTTCAATCCCGTGGGACTGACTTCGTTGAGCGTTTTGAGCATCCCCTGCGCCCACTTCGAACCGTCCGTTTTCAGCGCGTCGACAATCGCTTCGACTCGCTCATGGGAAAATATCGAATCGATTTTCTCCACGAACGGTGCCATGGTGAACTTCACGCCGCTCAAGTCTTCCGCGTTTTCCGCGAGTACGATGCCCGGGTCCCGGACGTCTTCGATCAGCTTGGCCCGGAGACCGTCCAGCTTCGAACTGTGCACGTAATGCGTGGCAATGCCGACCTTGGCGACGTCACTGCCCAAGAGCCTGCACCCGGTCAAGCCCAACATGATGCCCATGTGCCTATCCAGCCTGGACAGTATGTGACTGCCGCCCACGTCGCAGAACAACCCGATGGCGGTCTCCGGCATGGCGAACAACGTCCTCTCGGTGGCCACCCTGTACTTGCCGTGCACGGAAATGCCAACGCCGCCGCCCATCGTGATGCCGTCGATCAGCGACACGTACGGGATCTTGTACTTACCGATCATGCTGTTCATCGAGTATTCGCTCCGGAAGAAGTTTTTGCCCAATTCGATCGACGTGGCGCCCACCCCGTTCACGGTGATAGACTTCACGTCGCCGCCCGCGCAAAACGCCTTGCCGCCGGCACCCTGGACGATCACCATCCGTACCTGCGATTCGTACTCCTTCAGTTTCGGTCTGATCTTGTCCACCATCGATAAGTTGAGGGAGTTCAACGCTTTCGGTCTGTTCAACGTGATGATGCCCACGTCGTTTTTGACTTCGAAGAGCACGTCGTCCTCCATGGTGGCGGTCGAAAGATTTCGTCTAAACGCTAACAAACTTTTCGAAAACCTGAGGCGGCCCGTCGAACAAATCATCTGCGACAAGAACGATAATAATATTATAGCCGGAACGTATTGTTCATTATCCACATTTCACGTATACCGCGTTGACGTTTGATGTATACGAGTTAATATAATTTAATGGATTACCTACATTTTACGTAAAACCGTGCGTTTTAATTATTGTCGTATGGATGTGTAAGTATAAGTGTTTAAAATTTGAATACGTTATTTATTGGAAAACATATCTGGAGACAATATGACATGCGTGTTTAATAATGTCTAGGAAAAAAGTTTTACGGATAAGGGACGAAAGTACAAATAATATTTATTTTTCCTATAAAATATATCTACCTATTAAAAAAGGCACCTCTATTCCGCGTGTGTTGTCTCATGCTCATAAATACTCACCCAATAAAGTACCTACTTACTACAATAACAAATATGCGTTCGGTAGAAGTAAGTTAATCCGACACTGTGTCATTAGATTTAATGTATTAGAATTTAGAGTGAATTGACACAGTTTTATTAAACCTCGTAAGTTTTTATTGATATTTCAATTTTGAATCGAGTAATAAGGAATTTATAAACACATGCGGGAGTGGCGTCCTCAAACATTATACTATTATAGATACTATGAAGGAAGTAGGTAACTATTAAAGGAAAGGTACTTGATATACGATCAATTATTTTATATGACATTGCGGTTCAGGTATGTGAATGTGAATCTGGGAAACCCTCACCCCCGATTACGCCAACGAGCCAATATGAGTATTTTTGGTATCAGGGATAAAATAGTAATAATACGTAGTAAAAAAAAAAACAAAATTTTTTTTTGAAATAAGCTTACCTAGGGGTGCTGAGTTTAATTTTAAGCTCCTTGAAACTCCTCCCTTCTAGTGACATTGTGACTATATATATTATTAAATACTTATTTAGATTTTCTCATATTATGTTACTTTAAATACCTAAAATCTATTTATTATTGGTAACGAATACCCATTATATACTTAAATTTGTTTATTCTCAAACGGTTCATTTTATTTTATTGATAATAATTTTGGAAATCGTGATCTAAAATGTCAATTTAAGAGGACGCCACATCCACTTGCAGTCTTATCTCCGTCTTACAAACATACACCATACCAAATTTTCGTTCAGCAGAATCCATTTTATGTTGTTAATTTTAATATTAGAGTAAATTTACTTATTATCAAACTTAAAGGTAAGAATTTTATCTAGGCCATCACATTGGCTTTTATTAATACTATAATTTTAAACTGAGTTACCTACAACTATATAAAATATTAAAACTTTAAAATGCTTATAACTCATTTTAAAATTATAGTATTAATAAAAGTCAACGTGATAGCCTAGATAAAATTCTTACTTTTAAGTTTGATAATAGGTAAATTTACTCTAATATTAAAGATAACAACATAAAATGGATTATATTGAATGAAAATTTGCTATGTTGTAAGTAGGTATGTAAGACGGAGATAACACATTATTGTAAATATGTTATACATTTATTATTTTAAACTGACAATTCTATATAATTATTAGTTATACGCTTAGTTTTGTGACCAGGTCTTTAGTATTAATTTAAGTATTGTAGAGGTACTTACCGTTTTGTTCGAATATCTACTATGATTAATGAAATTAGTAAAATTTGAATAAAATTAAGTATGTGATATAATATAACAATAAAACGAGGTTAATTATAATTTTTTGGTTATGGAAATGTTAAAGTAGACTATTATAATTATTAATATGATGATTGATGAATACTAAATAAATGTTATCAAAATTATCATATTTTACTTATTGGCTATTATTTGATCAATATATTACGTAAATAAATATGGCCCATAAAAATAATCAGCACAGAAGTATAAGCCTTAAAACTAAAATACTATATTATATTAGGTATTTAGGTAACTAATGAAGTGAATGTTTTTTTTCACATTATCACTTATCGGATATCTATTATCTAATAGAAAGAGTTTAAATAATAAATACGCCGGCAAAGGACCACGCTGTAGCATGTATATAGTTCAAGATTAAATGTAGTTATATTCTGTGGTAGTACTGACAACATATTATCTGATATCTAAAATTGTGATAAGGACTGCAACCTGAAGTACATAATGATAATACATTAATACATATTGTTTTTCTCTAATTCTCTGTGAATTATAATACTTTAATTTGTAATTGAATTATTTGGCAGTTTGGCACATATTATATAGTTATATCATGCTTTAGTATTTTTGTCTGTGATTAGATTTGGAATACAAATATATGTAATCTGTGTCCTGTTTTGTTAAATACAATTACCTTCAATCATTACACATTTTGTCATGATGTATTTGAAGCTATTACAAGCAATAGTCTCAAAAAATGAATTTTTTACCAAAATGTTACTTAAACGGGAGTATTATTGTCTTATTATCAATCGATTACACTTAAAAAATTACTCGCTTCAACATCAAATAAAATTCAACCCTAATGACAAGTTCAATATTCAAAAATCTTTTATATCTAAACAATTTTCTACTTCTAATAATCAGTACTTATCTATTGTTATATACTTATATACAATAATATTAATGGAAAATTTAATTGGATTTTAACATCTTATTTGTTTTTGCTTTAGGAATGAAATAGATTTTGAACAGACATGCAATGAAACATTAGAATCATTATGTGAATATTTTGAACAAATTGTGGAAGATAATATACATCTTGAAAATCCTGACATTTTATTCAGTGTATGTATAATATAAATAGCATACATAATTGTAATTATAATAGTTTATTCAATGAAATATGTGTTTGACTTTTTTTATAAAATTTTATAGGATGGTGTATTAACAATTCAATTAGGTGAACCTTATGGCACTTATGTTATTAATCGACAGACACCAAATAAACAAATTTGGTTGAGTTCACCAATAAGTGGTCCAAAACGATATGATTTTGATGGTACTAAATGGATTTATAAACATGATGGTGTCAGCTTACATGAATTATTGACTTTTGAATTGTCTAAAAAATATTCATTTAATGTAAACTTTTCTAAATGCACATTTAGTGGTACTTCAAGTAAATAGTTATACTTTGTTGAATTATTGATAATATTATAAATTTTAGATTGTGTTATTAAAATTAAAAATACAAATTTTGTTCATACAGTTACTGATCAAGGGTTTTAAATATTAAGTACTTAAACAAAGACTTGACTTAGAAGAATATAGATATCAAACACCTATTATTATTTTATTTTTATTTTTACTGTGCATAGAGTTTAAAATTGGTATTTTGCTAAGTTTAAGTATTTTGTATTTGTACCCTCTACTCATGAATGTTCTCATACAGACAAAGGGAGCATATTGCCCCTTTCCAATACCTAGTCATTTTTATATCATACAAAATAATTGGTGCTATTGAAAATGGAATATTTTGCTGTCCACTACTGAAAGTAGTATATTAGCAATTAATATGTATTTTGACATATTTGATATTAATAGATAATTTTTAATTTTTAATTCATAATCTTTCCTCATATTTTTTTTGTATTGATTATTAATTATCAGAAGTGTATATTATATCATACCTTAACTGTCAATCGTTATTGTTTAATTTTAAATATGGCATACTAAACTTCAATGGATGCTTATTGCTTTATAATATTAAGTTTATATTTAGGTATGCATACTAATGCTTATAATGATTTCAGAAAAAACATTTTTATATTTAATTGTAAGGAGTAAATTTATGATTGTGATTTATTATTTTTCATAATTTAATGTTATTTTTTAAAATTATTTTAATGAATTAACAATGCTAGCCATTCATGGAAAGCCATTCTGAAGTTAATAGTTATTGATATTATGTCTCAAAAATTAAGTTAAATGTATACCTATATTTTTATAGATAACAAATACAATTGTTTTAAATACTATAGTGAAAATAATATTTATTGTGATTTAACCTAGAGTATTAATATTATATATATAACAATTAATAATGAAACTAGCTCTAAGCTAAAATACTATAAAATAAAAAAAATTGTTTAAATAAGGTAAAAGGTAGAACCAAAATAAAACATCTTAAAATTCAGCTGTTATTGTCAGATATAATATCTAACAAAAAATTCAGTTGTTATATTTGCATTAAAATTGTAAAAAGATTAACAGATACAAAGAAAGAAATGGTGTAAATATCTTAAAAGATTTTAGTTTAGTTTTTAATAATAGTTACCTATAATTCTCTTACCTACCTACTAATATATTTTGTAAATTATAACAATTAATTTAAATGCTACAATTATTATATTAGGCCTACTATAACTATATACAATTCTTGTTTAAACCAAGTTTCTATAACTTTTACTAATATTAAGGATCAATTTATGAAGTAAAGTATTTTACTTGTTAAAAATTAATTTTTATTTCATTGAATTTCTTAAATATACACAGACTTAATATTTTAAATTTTAATATCATACTATGAAAAATATGATGAATAAAGTTGAAGGTCTTATAATATTAAGAAAATACATTTTTTTTTAAATATTAAAATTTCTTACTAAACACTAAAAGTATTTTAGCATTTTTAGCCATTATGAAAGTAATGGGTAGGTAATCAAAAATATAACATTCAAAATATATTTTAATCTATAAATGTTGCTAGATGGCGCTGCAGTGTTCGATTTTTGATTGAAAACAGTACCTAATATTGCCTATGTTTTTGGTTTAGAATCTTATAAAAATGAGTCAGATGCTTAATACTTAAGAGATAATTAGATACTTTAGATACTTTGTTCAAATTATAATGTATTTTATGTTTATATTTTCTAGTGAGTTGTAACACCGAACATTTCAACACACCTATATATGTGTCTTCAAATAAAGCGTATTTTCAAGCACTACAGTAGTAGTTTCAGAGTTAAAAGGCATTTAAGCGCTTCCCTTCCCTCATTCCATTTACTCATATAAGTATAAAAAAAAAAATACAAATTATTCAGCATTTAAAAATTAAAGCGTAATAATCATATTATGTCATAAATTATAATAGATTTCGAGTCGTATGAGACTATATGAGAATACGAGGAATAAACTATAAAGTAGGTACCTAATAAGTAATATAATAACTTATATTGGTTGTTTATTTGTAATTTTAGATAGGTATGTAAAGATATCTTAACTAACATTTATAATTTTGTGGAATATAAAAAAAATGAATTCAAACATATTATTTGAATGTACAGTAATTCTTTTATCTAAGAACAATCATAATTTCATAATCTACCTATAGGTACCTATTAACATTGATCAAAATTTACATTATTTGATAGGATTCCAAAATAATGTTTTAATAATTTTTCACCATTAAAATTTTGAATTTTTCACTTTTTTAATTACAACATACATTTTTCATTTCATGTTCAAAAGAAGAAAATGTTTAGGAATATTTCGAATAGGTACCTATATCGATGTACATAAATAAAATTTTAAATAATAAATAATGATAAAGTTATCTACCTGCAATTAAAACAGTAAATATTTTTTTTTAAATATTAAAAACTAAAAATAGTAATACTTAAAATATGTAATATTTTTTTCAAAAATGATAATTATTTTTGAAACAATGTGCTCTGCATTGGAATTAATAATAAAATAACATTCTAAAAGACACCAAGAATAATGTAATTCGATGATTGAACTAAAATACAAACATTCTTAGAAAACCAATAAAATGAAAAATTTAATTAGTAAATATTTTTGTCTCTGTACAGATTTTTTAAATCTATTCATATAGTTTTGAAAAGATGATTTACAATTTTTTTTTTTTTGCTTAAAACGACAAGATTTTAATGGTAGGTTGTAAAGTATGAAGCAACAATTGGAGTTGTTTGCTTTTATAATAACAAGACTATTATTATTATTTTATTTAGTTTACGAAAAGCATAAAACATTAATAATTATTGATACTTAATGAACATTAACACACCATTGACCTAGGTACCGAAGAGTCCTGAAAAACCCTGCTGCTAGTAGTGTACACGATGTAATATTATATTTGTCTTTAGTTATCGATGATATCCGAGAATATCGCAATAATATATAATAATTGTACATATATTAAATTACCATTGATACCATTACACTAGTTCGTATATAGGTAGTCACATACTCCAAACAGAATCATACTTGTCAAATGAGATTGTATATTTTGAAACTAAATATAATTTTCAAGCTTAAAAGTATGCTAGTTTGTCAAAATAGTCGAAATAATTCAAGTTCAGCGTTAAAAATTATACAAGAAATATTTATCTCATTCTTCATGAAAACTTGAGATTGTACACTTTGAAACTACACCCCTCATGGCTCATATATCATGTTTTGTATTTAATTTATTAAACTTAAATTTTAAACATTTTAATTTTAAAATCGTTTCAGGATAACAATATTTTATTTTTGTTTATTCTGGCATTCTATAATTTTTATCTTAAAAGGTTACCTATTATTTTAATTTAAATCTGTTGTGAAAATTGATTATTATATTATCATTATTTTTATTGAAACAATTTAATTTACAATTTATACAAAATATGGCATAGTAAGTAAATGGTATGAAAGTATAATATAAAGTTAGCTTGAACAACTTGAAAGAGAAAACCTTTCAGCAACAGTATTTCCAATACTACTCGTATTATTATGAAAAAAAATACTTAATTTTTTTTAGTATGGCTTTATACTTTATGATACCTATATTTTCAGGTATTTAAGATTTAATTTATTACGACAATATTAATTTGGAGAAGCCTTCAATTTATATTTTATACCACTCAATGACTTGAAAATTATTTGGTTGACTTGGTATAATACTAATTTTTAATTAATTTCAATCGTTCGGAAATCAATAAGTAGGTAATTGATACACTACTACTTCTGCGGCTGTATAAAAATATCTAAATTTATATTAATTAATAAGTTTATAGCAATGTTTATTTTACATAACATATTACTTTATTCTTAATTATTACATGTAATATTAAATAATTGGGTTTTTTATGACTTTTAAGTATAGGCGTATAGCGCATTAATTTTGTTAGACCCATAATCCATAACAGCTCATAGGTAACTACTTTACAACATATATAAACAAATTGTCAATTATTGTCAAATACACCTCACTAATTATCATTAATATCACTATATACGCATACATTATTAATTAAAATTAACTTATCGTTAAAAAATACACCAATAGTCAATACCCAATATTAGAGAAACTGTAATATTCCTTGAATAGTTGAATGAAATAATTTTTAGATCTTTTAATTAGGAAAACGTAAATTCTATTGTAAAGATTATAATAGTTTTTTAAAAAAAAAAAAGAAGTGAGTATCGCTTTGTTGTATATGAGGTGTCGAGTGGGTAACTTTTATAGGTATTTTAAATTTACATTTAATGATATATCATTGTATTCGAAAAACGATTCTGAGCGGAAACAGTCTATTAACCTATATCATTTGGTGATTTATATTTATTTGATTTAGCTATTAAAGTAATTTATTTTACTTTTAGTATTATAGTAAGTTGATATAATTTTTTCCGAAAATATTGTATTTTTTATATTACATATTACATATTTTTTTTTACCTATAAATAGATAATATTTAAAAATAAATCGTAAGTGTTATTGAGTTTAGTAAAATTCATAATAATATAAAATAAATTCGAGCAATAATATTATTGTGTACTAGTAGCTATAAATAAAAAATAAAATAAAATAAAATACATAAAAGTTTAAGTTATCACTAATAATGTATTTAAGTTAAAACTTAAAACAAAATAATTAACAAATCGTTATTTATTTTTTGAATAAGTAATTTCGTTCAAATTGGAACTTAAAATGTCTATACAAAATAATTGTCATTATCTATTTTTTAGATTTTATGTATCTAATATAAACTTCTTTTGAGAAATCTTGCATTAAATTTTCAGAACTTGGGCGTAAAAACAAGAAAAATTATGAATTTTTAACTACAAAATAATTTACTAATTTTTGTGATTTTTATGAATTTTGTCAAAGTTATAACTTTAAAAAAAGTTATAAAAAATGTTGTGATTATAGATTTTCCTTATTTTTAATTGGAAAATTAACATTTTATGTGGTGCTTTGTATTAAATTTTCAAGTAGTTCTTCACTATAAATATCTAAAAATATTTTAAAAATTTTATTTTAAATAGAAAACAACAGTATTAACCTTTGGTAGAAACTAGAAATATTAAGTGTTTACGGTTAGGTATTCGTTTCCGAGTTGCATCAAAAAAATGAAATCGATCTTGTCGAAAATTGAATTTGTATATACATATCCGTTTTTTCCAATCATAATAATAAGTAGGTACTAATAATTTTTAAGTTTGACTTTTTTAAATTACAAATTAGATTGAATTTGAAATCCAAAACCAGTAATTACTCCCGTTTTTAAAAATCGAAACATTTTATTGACAACCTTTTGTGTATACTCGATCATACATATACAAA